TGGGACCATGATACCTTTTCCTTGGGATTTTTATTTATCATCAATAGTAATCATTAAATTTTTCTCCAAATGCTTTCATTTGTGCAGTGTTAACTTTGGATTTCCCAGATGATTATATTAATTGGTAGTAACAGTGGTTGTGGTAGTGTCGCTATTATTTGTTAAATGCATGTGTATGTATACACATGCACACACACAGTTTTTGCTTATTAAACGCCCGATTGTGCAACCCTTACACATGTTGGTGACCATTACTCATGCAAATAGTCCCACTGAGGCCAATAGGACGATTTCAGTGATTCAATTCTCATCGATACGAGTAAGGGTTGAAGAGCTAGCCCCCGGCTGTACAGTATTGGTAACCTCAAATGTTGAAACCTGGCAAAAAAAAATACTGATATTGGCTTAAAAAATCATGAGATTTTTTTCAAAGGGGTTCTTTTTATTTGCCTTCTGGTTTCTGAGCCTCCGGTGTGCCTTTGCTTCATGTTTTCAAACTTTTCTCCACAACCACAAAGGCTAGAAACTTACTTTAAAATAAAATAAAAATGAGATAATCATAGAATGATGTCACTCATGAAATGGAGAGTAATCGTACATTGCATGATTTGTGATAAAATAGCCACATTTGGCAACACTGACTTTAATTTCTCTAGAATCCCATCTTTTTGTTTGTGAATGCAATGTGAAAAACAGTTACCTGCATTTCCTGCTTTTTTCACTAATCTCATTAATCTGACATCACTGTTAAACCTTTACTTGTTGACTTGAAGAGAAGTGATGTTGGTGAAGTCTTATACCTGAGCAAAGATGTCTGTGTGGATGAATAAAATCACAGCTGAACTGACTGAAAAAGATCTCCGGAGTCATCTAGTCCAATGGCTCTCAACCTTTCCAGACTACTGTACCCCTTTTAGGAGTCTGATTTGTCTTGTGTACCCCCCAAGTTTTACCTCACTTAAAAACTACTTGCTTACAAAATCAGACATAAAAATACAAAAGGGTCACAGCTCACTATCATTGAAAAATTGCTTCTTTCTCATTTTTACCATATAACTATAAAATAAATCAATTGGAATATAAATATTGTACTTGCATTTCAATGTATAGTATATAGCGCAGTATAAACAAGTCATTGTCTGTGTGAAATTTTAGTTTGTACTGACTTTGCTAGTGCTTTCCATGTAGCCTGTTGTAAAACTGGGCAAATAGCTAGATGAGCTGATGTATCCCTAGAAGACCTCTGTGTACCCCCCCCCTCCAGGGGTAAGCGTACGACTGATTGAGAACCACTGATCTAGTCAGTCCCCCTGCTCTGGGGAACTGATCCTGCAGCCTATACCCACGTGAGTAGCCCTAGTGGAAATCAATGATCAGTGACTACCTCACATGTTTAAACCTGCGGTTCAAGCCCCTGGGGCAGAATTGCTGTACAACAATCTCTTGAGTCTGTTTTGAAAATCACTAGTGCTTTTGTTATTATGTATGACAACCTCCCTTGGCAGATTATTCCATTGTCAGACAGGTTCTACAGTTTAAAAAAATCCTAATATTTAATTTATTTTCTCCCTACTTTGGTTTCAGGCTATTAGTTCTTATGTTACCATCCGCAACAAGAATGAAGTTCAATCATAATTCTTTGCACGGTCATAACTAGTCAGTGGGAGTTTTGGGGAGGATGAGGAATGCAGGACCGGACCTTTGAAAGCCTCACTTTCCCTTTTGTGTATTATTAATTTTAAAGGTATATTTTTGCCTGTTTGAAAAGACATCACCATTGTTTTTTCTCTAGGCTACAACCACAGTAATGGGGTGTGAATGGAAGGGAATTCTCTCCACCCACAACTGTCTGTTGCTTGATTTTCAACATTCAGTAACTTCCCACTCAAGGAATATGACTCTGTTTTAATTCCCTATTTATGTATTCTGCATTGGTTTTGCTACATATGTTCCCAATCTTGAATCAGGGTTGCCAGTATAAACCTCTGTCTCACTGTGGAGTCCTATTGCAATGGCCCACACTAGTTGATCCAATGCAGAATTGGGGCCCAAATTATGAGGACACATTATTTAATTTGGATCATAGCTTTTGAGACCTCTGTATTACTTTGATCTTCCCTAAGGGTCTGATCATGTAAAACGCTTAGCCAATAGCTGACTGGCCTCAATTTACTTATCATTGCCTCAGTCTACTAACTCCAAAAGAAACTGAGACATGTTGATATTTTGGACTATTATAATTTTCACAACACATTCACAGTGTTAGGGGGCTTTCCTTCACCCCCTTCCCTGGTTCTTGTTACACAGACAGAAAGCAGAAGACCAGAAGTCCGAAGTGCAGGCAATGCGATGTTTATGGGGGTTTAGTTAAAACATATTTTGAAGCCCTTCACGCCAGTCAGGCTTATTTTTTTATGCCAATAGAGTTTTCCCCTCTCCTCCCAATATACATCAATAGAACCCCTTTGTCTAACCCCTAGCTACACACACTGATGCAGCTGTCTCTTCCCAGTGTTCTGTTTCCAGCTCTGATGCTGCAGAGCCTTGCCTGTGTCCCTGTTCCTCATTGCCCTATTCCCAGTCCCTCATTCTCCCATTGTGCCATTACCATTCCCCTTCCCACTCCCCCTTCTTAGCAGGTCCAAATATACCTGCAATGCACGCCCCTAGTGATACCCCTTATAACTTACGGTCATTTTCCGTTCTGGAGGGCATGAGTCGGGGGTCTTCATCCCACCCCTTTTGTACCCCCTGGGAGGGGTAAGGAGTGAGGTTGTGCTCTGGTCGGGGGCAGGCATTTCTCTGATCTTTTAGTGTTTTACCTCCCACCCCACCCAATCTCCCCTTACTGCTCCCGACTGGTTGCCTGACCTTGCTTTGAGATAAGGCGTTGAGGGAGTCGTCAAGTGTGCGCTCATATTACACTCCCACCGTACCCTGTAACACTTTCAGCTCCATCCCTTATCTGTCTCATTGTACTAAAAGCCCCATCTGGTTGTGGGAATGCAACACACAACATCTTTGTCCTTTGTTCTTCACTCATATTAGTAAGGATGTAAGAGTATTAAAAGTCAAACCCAATATTCTATCTCAGGCTAACAAACAGGCTTGTATGCTAACACACAGCAGTGCACAAGTTTCCTTAATCACCCTTCACAAGCCATACACCCTCTGAATATTGTGCAATATTATTCAGTGATTTAAAAAATAGTAAAATGTATAGCATAAGGACACAGCAGAACTGTGCTAAAATGCGTATAAACCTTATAATTAATTGTTGCCCGTTATTTGCATTCTGATGACTGTTTTTACTTAGGCTGTCTTTTTGTTCTGAATTCATACAGCACCTAGTACAATGGCATACTGGACCATAGAATCATAGAACTGGAAGGGACCTCGAGAGGTCATCTAGTCCAGTCCCCTGCATTCATGGCAGGACCATGTAATATCTAGACCATTCCTAGCAGGTCTTCTTCTAACCTGCTCTTAAAAACCACCAATGAGGGTGATTCCACAACCTCCCTAGGCAATTTATTCCAGTGCTTACCCACCCTGACAATTAGAAACATGGCTGGGCTCCTAGGTGCTACCATAATACAAATAATAATAAACCCCTGCCTTGTCCCCAAAAAGTCTTTTCATGATCGGGCAGAACACTCAGCCCAAGGCGTAAGAGGGAACTTGGCCCCAACCCTGCAAACAGTTTTCACATTGTGTAGCTTTACTCCTGAGTAGGGTTACCAGATAGCAACTGTGAAAAAACGGGCCAGGGGGTGGGGGGTAATAGGCGCCTATATAAGAAAAGTCCCCCAAAATGGGATTGTCCCTTTAAAAACAGGACATCTTGTCACCATACTCCTGAGAGCATGCATAAGTGTTTTGCAGGTTCAGAATCTAAGACACTAATGTGAGATTAATACCTGAATAGCACTGTGGTTAAAATGAAAAATGGAGTCTTCTTAATAGCTAAGAGCACTATCGATGGACCTGTGTTAACTCTTCCGTAGCAAAAAGATCTAAAGGGGATAAAAATTAAGCGTAATTTTTCCACTTTCTAACAGTATAATTGACATTCCTGTTGTTCACTTATCTCCTGTGTATTTTCTGTGTTTTTCTGCTGCGCCAAACAGCAGTTTTGAGGTCAGCAAACAATGGCTCAGCTGCATTGAAAGGAAAAACGGAATGGAAATTTAAAAGCAAGCCACTATATAAGATAAAAAGGCTATTGGGGTGACTCAATATACTAGAGATTTTACACAGAATTCCCATGGCAGCTGATGCTGCTGATCAATACTTGGTGCTGCTAGTTGGGTCCCAAATTGTAACTTCAACAATTAAGAGTAACTTTCTCAAGCTCACTTTGCAATACAGGGAGAGAGGGGGGCACATTTTCACAGTGTCTAATACCTCCAGGAAAGGACAGGAGAGAAATGAAGTGAGGAATTTAGTGCAGTAAAGCACTGTGCAGCTAACATACATTGGTGGATTAATGTCAGTGTTAGCAGGGAGTTTCACTGTGAGGAATCTTTCCATGTTCCAAATTGCAGATTTGCATCCACATGTGGGTCGCATGGGACGTCAATAACAAGACTCATCCAAAAGGGAAAGATTCATAACCTGTGGGGAAACAGACCTGGATTATAAAATAAATGAGGATAAATGGAAATTTATGGCAATAATTTCTTCTATTGTGTGTTATAACATTAACTGCACAAGCATAATACATTGTCAGTGTTATCTCTGAGTTTACTTTGCCCTAGGTGAATGTCCACCAGTACCAGTCCACAATCGCCCAAATATTTATTGAACCTTTTGCTTCCTCCGATGTTTTGCTACACTAGGCAACAGCCTGTTCTTAGGAGCAGACTTCTACAAGTATCTTTTCCAAATTGATGTTCATTTTGTATCTCCTTCAGAAAATAAAATAAACAACCCTAACATATGCAGTCCTTCCAGAAGAGAATACTAATGCCATTTCATGCACTCTTTCTTGCTAACAGACCTTGAAAACTTCAAGACAAGAACAAGAAGTACAGTGTCAGTCCGACAGGGTCAGGGAATGGTACTGCTGTGTGGACCACCACCACATTCTGGAGGTAAATCAATCATATTAATAATACTATTTTCAATATTCAATGACAATTTGCAAGTTTCTCTGTCTCTTGCTCCAGAATAGGGTTTCGAGAGTTCTTAAAGTTTCCATCCAGGGAAAAAGCAGGCGATAGTGTTGGATTGAGAGAATGATCCAACCTGAATGGTTCTTGCTGGGCATACAGACACCTTGGTAAATCTGCTAAGAACTTGGTGTGATAAACCCAGAAAAAGGACAAAGTTTTATCATCTACATGCATGCATGGAGAAGAAACTAATGCAAATGCCAGTGTGTGCCAAAGTGGAGCAGATAAACCTAGATTACATGGAGCCCATAGAAGCCCATCTGTTTATGATCTGCGTGTTTGGTCTTCTGCAGGTTTTCAGTCAGCAGGGAGGGTAACCATGTAGAAAGAGTGTGGATCACATGCTGAGCCTCTTTCCATTGCATTATTATTTCATTCACAATAATGAATTTCACCCTCAGTGCAAGAGAACTTATATCCTGTGCACCAAATTTAGACCTGAAGCGTAAGTCCCATTGAAGTCGTCAATGAGATTTGAACCCACCTATTCGAGAGCTAAATTTGACTCTGCATTATGTGGTTCTAAGACTTTAAATAATGTGGGGAGAAATGAAAGGCTGTTATCAAGTTAGTGTATGAATTAGCTTAAAACATGGTACATAAAATCCCCTACATTCTAAATATATTGCTTGTATAAAGAAATATTCAACAGTCTTTAACAGGGAAGTGAAAAAGAACACACTACAATCGCCCGTGTGATTTGTTCTCTTCTGACAGTGTGTGATATCTATCAAATCCTTGTCCCTGATGGGAATCAGCATCATCGATGCTGCTGTTCAGACACGTTAACAGGGAAGTTTCAATAATAACTCAGTGTTTTCTCAGTGGCAAAGAAAGTGGTAGATGTTCCAAAAAAATCAGGTTTCTAAATGGATTTTATAAACTATGAAGACTATACCAATTATTTTATTACAACATCGCTTTAAAAGGGGATGATAAAAAAAAAGTTTAGAAAATTCAAAGCAATCATTTTCAACTAAAATTGTATAAAGATCTCTTGTTATATCCTATGTAGATATGTAACGAGTGGTGCCAAAACGATCTGGTTGACTGGGTGTTTATACCTGTGTGTTTCTGTGTTGCAATTCTCACAAATCAAGCATTGGAAAGATAATTAGTTAGTTGTCTATTATATCAATTGATTGATATTGGATTTGATCGCAGGCAATGCATTGTGTGCCCAATAGTCTATGAAGTGTGTCATACAACTTTAGTGTATTGTCACTAATCACTATGATCAACAACCATCTATTTTGGCTGGGTGTACGCCCAAGTGGTATTTCCAGTAATCCACATATAACGTTTCAGGTAATTTCTCTCTCTCTCTCTTTTTTTTAATGGTAATCATGTTTTTAAACCTATGTGCCATTTGAGTCCTCACTTGTCAGCTAAAAATTGCCTAGCAAACCATTTGCCACTGTGGTGCTTTTACTGCTCAGACACAATGAGGCAAGTATTTACTGAGCCCCTTTGCTTTTGACCAGCTGTCAGGAAAAGCTTGACAAGTCTGCCAGCCTCCCTTGGCCCCTGGACTTCACAGTCCCCAACTAGAGTGCCACTTGAAAGAAACAAAATTTAAAAAAAAATGGTTTGGAAGGACCCTGGGTCTGATACTTTAATGTATGATCTGCTACTGCTTACAAATCAAGAGAGCTTTTAATTCTGAATATCATCTGTAAGCCTTGACCAAACCTTTTTGAATTGGGATAAACCCCATGCAGAAATCCCACTGACCCCTATTGATCTGAGTAAATATTTTTGCACCAACAACATTGTTCTGCATTTTAAGTTGTGGGGCGCTCTGAAGTATTTCTTCACCAAAGGTACATTCCATGCTGTCACTGTATGGGGGAGAGGGAATGCCATGCTAAAGGATAACCATCTACCTAGTTTCTGTAACTAGGACACCTTTCGCTTTCATTTTTTTAGGCATTATCCCTTTCCTTCAATGTATAATATTACCATCAGAATTACAACTTCTGGAATCTCCATGGAAGTACCCATTACAGGGACATGGTTGTTTCATCTGCAATCTAAGGCACTTTGTTCCTATCTTAAATTTGGGGCCTACCTGGACTGTGCCCCATTGGGGCATCTGCATTTATTAACTGCTAAGCACTCGAGCATATAATGGAAGGATTGGCTCTTATGTAATCTAGTGTTTCTAAGGTTTTATAAAATTCCCAGATCCCAATGCATACCAGCTTACCCAACTTTTCAGTAGAGATGTGGGGTCCAACACAGATGCAACGAAACCTGCAATTTTATGGTAGAGGAGCTGTTACTGGAGGGTTCTGCAAGGAAAAAGACCCTAAGGTTGTAGTGGTTGACATTTGAAAGGTCAGAAGTAAGTGTAAGAGCCTGAAGGGTCCGGTAGCAAATTTTCAGTAAAAAGTACCCTGAGCTGACTCCTATATTACAAGCCTGTTGCCTAACTCTCATCCCCAGGTGCACAAAGCCTCCATCACCTGCCACCCACTACCAACTGCTTCAACTTTTCTCCTCCCACCCGCCCAGCTATAAAACCTTGTCTCCCTCCCTGTGACAAGTTTCCTGACTTGATTTCCCCAACTGCAGGCTACACCTCAGCTACCCCTATGATGAATCCCCTTTTGTTTAAAACAAACAAAAATAAGTATTTTTTCACAAAACACAAAGTCAATCTGTGGAACTCCTTGCCAGAGGATATTGTGAAGGCCAAGACTATAACAGGGTTCAAAAAATAATTAGATAAGTTCATGGAGGATAGATTCATCAATGGCTATTATCCAAAATGGAGAGGGATAATGTCCGTGGCCTCTGTTTGCCAGAAGCTGGGAATGGGCTACAGGGAATAGATCGCTTGATGATTACCTGTTCTGTTCATTCCCTCTGAGGCATCTTGCATTGGCCACTGTCGGAAGACAAGATACTAGGCTAGATGGACCTTTGGTCTGACCCAGTATGGCTGTTCTTCTGTTTACTTTGAATTTAGTTCTTGACAATGTGACATAAATTGTTTTGCTCCTCTTTTGGTCATTGTTGTTTAGCTCTTGACTTCCAGGTGCTCAGAAACCCATTCATCCCTCTTTTCATGCCGTAGTCTTGGGAGGAGTTTTTTGTTTTGTTTATTTTGATGGGGGTTAGCAGGTTCTTTCCCTTCTGGGCTGTTTTAGTGTTATGATCATGTTTATTACCATGCTGAAATCAAAGATGTGCTGAACTTTGAAGGAGGCTGATACTTGATCTGCATTCAAATCTCTGCTTTTGACAAGAGAAATGGGATTTAAACATATGTCCTGAGATACTCATAAGAATTACACATCTATTATCACCGTACCAGTAACTGGTCAGTCTTTGAACCCGTTGCTTTGTAAAAATGCTGAACAAACATTACTCTAAAATGCTTAAAATTGGCTTCTTAAAGATATAATAGTTTCAGATAGTTTTGAGACATATGTATGCAAATGTGCCTATCCATTTATTTATAATGAGTTCACCATCATAGAGAGAGGCACTGTATACCAAAAATAAGAAAAGCATATTACTGTCTGAAGGCACCATCTTCCCCCATCACACCCCATTCTCTCCTCCCTCTGTCCTCTCCCCTGCTTTCTGTGTGCTCTATGCAGTTAGTTTCTGTGGCTGTATATTGGTTACCTAGGAAACTGCTGTAGGATGGAATTCAATTGAAAATGCTACTGGACTGAGTGTCAGAATTGTGGCCTGTGTTTCAAGTGATGCATGAGTGCATGTAAAATCTTGACAATTTTATTATTATTTGTAACATAAAATAACGTTAAGCACTAGTGCCAAATCCATACATGGTGTAACTACATTGATGAATTTGGCCCACTCTCTATTGCAGGCTATCAGTGCCATTTAAACCAAAATGCTCATCCATAGAATCAGTGATACGCTCCCTGCATACACCCGATACACACACTCCCATAAAACCAACGCTACCATCCCAGGCTCTCTCCTAACATCATGAGCCCTCACAAATTATCCCCCACCCCTATCCTGACAATATCATCACCAAGTAAAGAGGCTGCCATTTCCCAGTAGGGGAAACTTCTAAACAAGAGATAAGACACAAATAAGGCTATTCACAATGACTCTCTCCGACCCAACAATTAATTCAGCAGCCCTAAAATCAAACCATGCTCCTTCTATACCACCCTGATGAGTCCCACCTCACCCTTACAGAGAATTGGTCTACATACCAAAAACTCCTCTGCCACGAAGATTAAATGTGTAAATTAATTTAGCATGAGCCATGGGAGGGTGTGGGGAATTCCAGATTATGTGCTGAGGGTTTTTTTTATTTTATTTATTTATTTATTTATTTTGCTGTGAGGAATTTTGTTGCTATTTTGCAGATAAAATGGCTGAGATCCAGATTGAACTGTCAGATTGGTGTATTGTGTGTAAGTGACTCGAAGACTTTTAATGTAAATGTATTCAGTGATGACAGTATCACTCTAAAGAGCTGATAAAGTTATTTCCCATTCCTGTGGTCTGAATATATACAGCATGTAAGGAAAGGCATGTTACGGTGTCTATGAGATAAGCACACTCACTTCTGGTGCCCAGCAAGGCAGAAGACTGAGGATATTATTACTAGAGCCACAGTTAGTTTAAATTGGCACCGCTCCGTTGTAGTCAGTTGGCCTGTGCCAGTCTACAGAAGTTGATGTTCTAAACCGTTTTCAATAAGAAGAAATTTTATGAAACGCAAAGTAATTCCAGTCTATTCTGGCCGGGATCCTGGTAATCTCACTTGCCCTGCATGAAGAAAATGTCGTCTTCTTTTTTTTAACAGGACCTAATTTGTTTTTCATATAATTCACCCTACTCAGCAGGAAATAACCTGAAGAAATGGTAGAATTTTTAGGCTCCAGAACTAGAGTGATTGTTTCCAAATTGCATTTTAGTTA